AATCTGTTCTTTCTTCTCTGTGTTAAAGAGCTGTGAAAACTCCGGTATCTCTGAGACCCGGTCTGAGGTGATTCAAGCCCCCCCGAGGGGAGGGGGGGTTAGGTAAGTGTATTTCCCTTATTACTAAAAATTCTTTTTCTTCTTCTTTTTTTTTTTTTTTTTTTTTTTAACCTTGTGCAGTAACGACTGTTCTTCGAGATGTGTGTCCCCGTGGGTGCTCCACGACCCTCCCTACCTCCCCTCTGCTCGGAGTCGAAATTACTCGGGCGGAGACGAGGAACTGAAAGGGAGGGGGATGAGTCACACTCCTCAGGAGGCGGCAAGGGCTCGAGACGCCTCCTGGGCATGCGTGACTCAACAGGGGAAACTGCTATAGAAAGCTCCGATCTGAGGCTCAGGGCGACCCTTCACCTACAGTGGAGCACCCACGGGGACACTACTCGAAGAAGAACAATAGGTTATTTTTCAGAGTCTTGCAACTATACACTGACATTTTCCCTGCAATTGTGGACCTTTATCTCATTTTTCCTGAGATAGCTTTATTTAGAATCCTTTTATTACTGTTTTCTTATTGATATATTAACTTATAACATAGTCCATGAAATATTTACTTTCAGCATCCTTCAAGTCTAGGGAATCTTGAGGCAGTTTCCTTAGGTAATCCTTTAGCAGCATCTCATAGCGTGGAATCCGTTGTACTGGTTCTAGCATGTGATGTTGCAATGTCAAACTCCCACAGACTTTTTGTGTCTAGGAAAATATAAATATATTTATATTCCACAGTTCAAACAATATTTTTCCATAACTTAGTATGAGATAATGTAAAACTGCGACTGACCTAAATTCAAGAATACTGTATCTTCATAACAGTGAACTGTAAAAATCTGAGATTTTAACCTAAGACTTCCTAATTGCAGAAATCAGAATAACTTTTTTCATCAGAAGCAAATAATTGAAATTCCTCCCAAGAATTTTTTAATTTGTATCCAGCCAAAATAATTTCATAAATAAGACAACAAAGGATACTGCATTTTAACTTAATTGTCAAATATTATCTATAATAATTAATCTTAAATATTTAATTCAGTTAATAAGGGACAAACAGTTTACGAGAGAATGTCATAAGTGCAAGACATTTTCTTCTGGACTCTAGTGTGGTACAAACACATAAACAAGCACTCTCTTTCAACCCAGTTATCCGCAGTGTAATTATCCATTACTTTCGGGAGAAATGATGTATCTCTATTCCCATTTCCTTAGAAAGGAATAAGCAGTAGAGGAGACTAATGCATACAAACCATGTCCTGTACCGAGGACCAACATTCTGCTTAAGTTGTACTACACTGCAGGAATGTTTTATTCCTTTCCTACACTTCTAGTCTGTAGACTTGAACAGATATCCATACTAATAGATAGAAAAATCAAGAGGGGGCCCTGGAGAGGTGAAATTACGGAGACTTTTCCAAAGAGATAATACATTCCCATAGTCATCTGCTCCTTTAACCTCCAGTTTAGGATTGTAAATGTACTTCCTAACTCAAGTGTTTTGGAACACTACAGGTCATGTCACACAACATGACAGACTAGGAATTTAGAGACTGACCGTATAAAAAGCAAGTGTTGTTTACTTTTTAGTATCTATGACTGACAAAGCAAATACACTGCTCCTTGTGTGTTACATGAATGAAAGCATAAAAGTTATTTCACTGGAGAGGAAAGATACGAGGGGAAAAAAGGAAAAGGAAAAATAGGACAAAGTCAAATGGAACAAAATGGGATCCAAACTTTCTTCTAAGGGACCAGAAAAATAGAATATTTATGGAACAGACTATCCAAATACCACTGAGAACCTGTTGCAATATAAAAACACCATTGAGTGCATGCGCCTACTTGCCACCTAACACCCCATCATGGACCCCTTAAGAGGCATCAAACAATTCCCCAGTTTATCCAAGCTCATCATCAGAAGCAAGCTTCCCACAGATTACAAAACAATTTAAACTGGCAACACAGCCTGCCAGAACAACAGATGCAAAGCCTACAGACATAATTCCACTGCTACAACGTTCAGTTGCACCTACAACATGGTTTTCAGTATCTATGGGTCCTACACATACTCATTGCCATATGTGGTTTACCTCATCCAGCGCAAAAGCCCTACCAACAACTACATGGATGAAATCAGAACCACAGAAAAATGGTCACACACAAAAAAACAACCTATCAACAGTCATTCCATATCTGACCTCACAGTCCTCATCCTGACAGGAAATCTACGTAACTGCTTCAACACACAAGCTTGGGAACTTCAATTCATAACTCTGTTGGACCCTAAAAACAACAGACTTACCAGAGATTGTTGTAATGGGCCATAAAACCAATCTGTAACATGCCCTAGTGCCCGCTCACCCTTTCTTTAAAATAAAAAGGGTATCTGTCTCCTATAGTGTGTGTGAACCGAGCCCCTTAGACTTAATCTATACCAACTTGTATTTAGCTCAGACACTAAGGTTACCTTCTCCATATCTGAGGAAGAGCTGTAGCTTAAAAAGTTTGTTTCTCTTACCAACAGAAATTGGTTCAACAAAAGATATTAATACCTTACCTATCCTGTTTTTTCTAAGGGACTGGACATTAAATTCCCTCGTTAGCACCATCTGTCAGAAATACAGAAAACCACACACACTATTTCTTGAAAAGGTACAAAACAGTGTCTCTCCTCAATTACCTGAATGTCTTGAATAATGGATTTAAACAGAGGTGACCGCTCAGTCCAGGTTTTCACCAGTTCCATTGCATTATCAAAGTTCTTCACATACTCTCCATACATCTTGAGGAAAGGAGATAACTTCTGTAGAATATCTCCAATTCTGGGGGTCACAGCCCTGTAGAGCAAGAGGACCAAGCCAACTTCATAGTAAATGAGTTAATTCTATGTTGGGTTTCACTTATTTTCAAAATGAATTTTTTAAAAAATCTGAAGTAATGAATCCCCCAAGAACCAGCTACACAAAAGTGAAACCCAACATAGTATTAACTAATTTTCAAAATGAATTTTTTTAAAAATCTGAAGTAATGAATCCCCCAAGAACCAGCTACACAAAGGATCCCAGTTTGACCTGCAAAGGAGACCTGTAAAAGTGAAAATCTTTGTGCTATATCTTGATGATGTAGGAAGGCCTTACATAAGGAATAAAGCACTATGCAAAATGTTAATTCTTCTTTCATTATTTTCATTTAGTGAATGGCCATTCTCTGGGCTGCCATTTTAAGCAATATAACACTATACTTGTCAGTTATAGGTGAACACTCAGGTGGTCAATTAAAATAGAACTGAGAAGATTCCAGTACTATTAGAAACTAGCAAAAAAAATCAGGTTTAAAAGTATGTAATTCCATACTTTTGAAAAAAATTAAGTCACTTAGAAGCTTAAAGTAGTTAAGTTTATAGTGTTGCTTTATGTACACAGTAAAAGAGTAGCATTTAGCATTTCTCAAAATTTCAAATATCACTTTGCACAGACCTTTTCACAACTGTAATCTGGACTGAGACAAGCAGGTAATTTTATGATGTCAGATGGATCAAGAATTGCTTAATTCTTCTAAAAACACCCACAATTGTTGGTATTTGGACTACATTGTAATGGGGTTTCTGGATGAGACAATATGCAATAAAACCTTGGGAACTTCCAAATTAAACCTGTGTTTGCATGGCAAGATAAAGAGTAACAACTCAGGAAAACACTGAGATGACATAGGAGCAGACCAGTGTACTGATGGTGAAAAAACTTCTTTTGTGCTCATGAGGAAGAGAATTTGTTCTGTGTTTTGAAGAATTAGGTCGAACACATAGGCTGAGTTTGTGATGACAACTGCTGTGTTTAAGTAGGTCTACTGTTACAAATAACTAGAAGTATGCCTGTGCTGTGGTACTAAAGAGGCAAAAGGAAAAGCTTATCCAGAGAACAAAATGCCCATTTCACAATATTTTAACACACATTACCCTGGTTTGCTCTTTTAACATAGCTTGCCCTTGAAAAAAATGCCACAATACCACCATGCTAAAAAGAATCCAGGACAAGGTATTATTAAATTATCAAGTTAAAACTTGTAATACAAGTTGGACCCCCTGGTCCGGCACCCTCAGGACCTGAGTGGTCCCAAATGAGAGATTTTGCTGGACCAGGGGAGTTTATTTCTGCCCCCTGCCACCCGACCCCCAGCCCGGCTCTGCTCTTGGTTGGCCTCCCGGCCAGCTCCCCACCTGCCATAAGCCCCACTACCCTACCATGGCAGCCCACAGTCCCACCTCTGGAGCTTCCACTTCCACCATGGCAGACTGCTGCTGTGGTAGCAGCCCTGCAGGCCTGTGGTTCTGCCACCGGGGCTCCCAGTCCTGCCACGACAGATGATTGCTCAGCCACGGGGCTTCCAACTCTCTCAGCCCTGCTGCGGCAGCACCAGCCCAGCAGTTGGGGCTCTTGGCCCTACTGTAGCAGACTGTTGCCGTGTCTGCCAGGGCTACCAATCTTGCCATGGCAGACCCAGCCTGCTGGCATTCCCGCTGCTGGCTCATCTGGACTCCCTCGGCAGTACTCTCAGCTCTGGGCCCCTGCTGCCAGCCTGTCTGGGTTCCTGGCCCCCATGTGGCTCCTGCCTCTGGCCCTCAACTGGGACGCTCTGGTATGGCAACATCCGTGGTCCTGCTGGAACATGGATGTTGCTGGACTAGAGTCTCGGTTGAGAGAGGTTCAACCTGTAATATACGGAATTCTGCTTTAATATCGAGTAGAAAGCAAAGAAAAATGTGAGTAAGTCCACTTACTTCACTGAGACAACATGTGTGTTAAGGTCAGGACATGCTTAATTCCACTACTAAATAGACCCTGGTAAATAGTAGAGCAGCAGACACTTATTCCCAGCAGCTAATTTTATTGGAGCATTTCAACAGCAAAGTGTCCTCTATCTCAATCATAATTTCTACACTAGCTCAGACCTATTACTAACAGGCTTACTATCTTTCAAAGCAATTCTTACCATTCTTGCATTCTTTTCTCAAGCTCTGGCAGCAAGAATTTACTATGGAAGGCGTTGATGGATGAAATATTAGAAAAGATTTTATTGACCACCTCAGCTGGAAATGAACCCCTATTAGCTTCCTCCAATAGTCTGCCATAGAATACCTGCAACAGAGAAGGACATACAAGTTAACAGCCCTATACGCATTTCTGTTGTCTTTGCATTTTAAGGTGGTTACTATTGTAGCTGAACTGTGGAAGCACCCCTAAATTACTGAAATAGCTTAGAATAGGTGTTACTCTTCTTCCCCTCACCTCTTTCAGATCTCAGGCTATGTCTACATTGCAGGCTTCTTGTGCAAGAAGCTTTTATCAGAAGAGATCTTCTGCAAAAACTTCTTGTGCAGGAGCGTGTCCACACTACAAAAGTGCACTTTTGAGCAAGAGACATCCAGATGGCATGGACTCTTTCTTAAAAGAAAGCTCTGATTGCTATTCACAGAATAGCCACCAGAGCACTTGTGGTTTTTTTTTCCCCCCCTCCAAACTGGCTCTTTTTGCGCAAAAAACAGTTATTCCTCGTAGAAAGAAGAATACCTACAGTACAAAATCTGTTCTTTTGATTTACTATAAATTTACTTGTGCAAAAATGTGCTTGAGGTGTGGTGTAGATGTAGCCTCAGTGTCACTCCCTCCCCAGTGAAGCCCTGTGGGGTAAAACACATGCAGGACATAATGGATGCAAGTGATTAGGGATGTAAAATCCCAGTTAAAAATTAACTAGTTAAATGAAATGTTATCATGATCACTTTCACCCAAATTGGCTTCTATCTTCAGATTTGATACCAATCACTCCCTATTGGTCAGATTCAAGTCTAAAACGGCTGTCTCGCTGGTTATTGCCTCCATTTTCCGAAAAAAAAAATTGTCCCCTATATAGTTCAAGAAATCACTAAACATTTTTTGTTTTGCCATACTACTCTTCAAACAGATGTCTATACAGCAGAATTTCTTAACACACTACTTGTTTGTCAGTACAGTATATGAGAAACACTTCCTCGTAGAAGTTCTCGGACACTTAGTGTAATGGTTAGAGGAAAAAGATTAGCAGCCAGGAGCTCAATCTAATCCTAGCTTTGCCACTAAGTCAATCTTGTACAAACCAATACTTATCTCCTTTGCTTGGGATTTTAGAAGTATTATCAATTAATGGTGGTAATCATTACATACATATTGATTACTTTAACCAAATTTAAGGAAATAAAACTCAGCCTCCACTATTCTCTTTTTCTTTTGTGATGCTATTCGTTTTAAGTATTATCAGTAAACGTTTGCCTAATACTTGAAAAAAACAGCGTGCAGAAATGCATCTAAAATTGAGATAGTGAAAATACTTCTACAATGTCAGTCAAAAAAGACTAAAATTAAATGTGATTATTTTACTGAGGTTTAATATCCCTAAATATATGCTATTATTTGCAAGAAGGGTCTATTTTCAAACATGTTCATGTAAGATAGCAATGTAATCATTTCCCTCACATTAATGAGAAACAAAACTGATATGCCTAAGCAGTCTGACAGCTACCACCTGGACCTGATCTTGACTTACAAGCCCATGCACTAAACCAGGGAAACATCAACATGCAATGAAGATGAAGAACAATGTCAGTTGACAAAGCAATGCATGATCAGAGCTATCTAGGTATGCTGGATATACCTATGAGAGGGTAAGTAGGCTCAAAAAGAAATTACAGAACTGAACTGAATACAGTATGACATATAAGAAATGACAAATATAATTTCAAGCTGTAAAAAGTGCAAGTGCTCAATTCTTCCATCACAGCATACGAGGAACTCTCATTTGCTTTAATAGGAATTAGAAGACTTACTCAGTATTGCCCAAGTACTTCAGGGGAGGGAGCTGATGGCATGGGGAAGGAGTCAGGGTTCAGAGAAAAGGGACTCAGTGCAGGGAGTGGGGGTGGCTGCTCTCCCGAGCAGAGCACTGCCGCTGGGGGCTCCCTCCGTTCCCCTGTTCCCTCCTGTGGTGGGAGGGCACCAAACAGGTCTATCTCCCAGGCAGAGGGGCCCTGCTTACAAGGTCTGGTGATGAGCCCAAGCACTGCTGGCCACTCTCTTGGTAGTATGGCTGCCCCAAGTGGATACTCTGCAGTACAGCTCTCCCCTGCAGGCTTGCTACCCCCAGTGGCCACTGTGAATATAGAACCCCTCAGAACAACCCCTCCCTTTCCATGTTATGGAAAACCATCCCATTCCCAGCACTTCCTGTTTTCCTGGCACAACCAAACCCTGACTTTGCTATAAGTTGGGAGAAGAGGAAGCTGCATACCAAAATTAGTGGTCCTCACACTTACCATTCTTGAAAAGACTCACCTCACAGACTCACCTTTCTAAAAACATACATATAGATTAAGCAGACACTGTGACAGAAGAATAGAGCAGAGAAGATTTAAGATGGGATGTTTCTCTTTTAGGTCACTATTTGAAAGCTGGCTAAAGTAAGTAGACACCAAATTTCTACCAGGCAGACTATTCAGTGGCTAAGAGCACAGGTGATTACATCAAATGCATACAACTATACATTAGCACCCTTGCCGGCAATTTCAGCAAAAACCAAGAAATGAATGGAGTACAGAGGTGAAATTAACCTCTGTTTCTTGGAGACTGTCCCATTGGTATGAAAGTGTGCACTTCTACTGTTCATGCTGTGTTTTACATAAACATAATAATTCAGTTTCTCTGTCTGTCAGGAACTGGTATGTTTTGCAAACATTATGCTTTAAAAACAGAAAAAGAAGTGGCTGTTACAAATGATTGCTTAAATTGAGAGGATTAGCAGAAGACAAAACCCACAGTATCTTTATATAGTTTTTACAAACAGATAAAGCTCACACGTACTGCAGTGTAAGCACTACTTAAAACAAAATTCACCTTGTCTAAGAGGTCAAGTCGGTTGACGTAGGCTCTTTCTGTATGCAAAAGCTCATCAGCAATTTTGTGACGTTTCTGTTCATCTGTCTCCTGAGGAAAAACAAACCACATACACACAATATTTTCTCAGAATAGTTCAGGGTAATTCAGTTCATATTCGACATTTAATTAGTAACTCTTTTAGGCAAACACAAACTAATCCAAAGTGACAAATTCCCAAAGGAAGTAAAATTCCCAAAGGAAGTAAAAATCAAGAGTGGGATAAAATCAGAAGCAGTGCAGAACAAACAAAAAACATGCAAGAGTTTTCCTGTTTGTGCAGATGGTTTTGTATTACTAGGTATTTGCCAGACCGCTCACTGTTCCCTACTCCCAGGTTTCTATCCACTTATTCAACTAGTGTCTTGATAATTACTATTAATATTCCAGAGCTGGATGAATTAACTTGTTTTTTGAACAGATTAATTCAACCCTTTTTTCCTGCTTTCAATATAGTTTAAACTGACTGTTCATTGCCTGACTATTTGTTGTTCAAAATTATCATACAAACATTTTATGTAGACAAACAGGCTAGCCAGAGCTAAGTATTTCCTAGAGCTGTTAGGAAATGCATTTTCTGTTTTCTGGGAAATTCCAACATTCCAAATCCTTCATCCGCCATTGTGAAATGGAACAAATTTGTTAAAATTTGTTCAGGAAAATCCAATAAATATTCCAGATCAATAGAAACATTTTGTTCCAACTTTTTAAAAATGTGACCTTTTAAAAAAGCAGAAAACGACTGGTATGGAGTCATTCTAAAAGAAAAAAATTGAAATGCTCTATTACAAAAAGCTTGAAACTGAACATTGCACCTTGAGGGAGGGAGGACACAGCATTTCCCCACTGCATTTGGAATTTAATGCAATGACATTCTCCAACAGAAGAATGTTCCATGGGAAAAAAGCTATACAGTTCCAATATTCACAAGTAACAAGAAGTAGTCCTGTGGCACCTTACTGACTAACAGATTTATTGGAGCCTAACTTTCCGTGGGCAAAGACCCACTTTGTCAGATGTGTGGTTCTGTGGCTGTTCACATTATTCACAAGGAGTGAAAACCGATCGTACTCAAGAAAATACCTCTATGGAGCCAGTATTTCATCTATACTATTGTTTCTACTACCTATCCGGAAGAGTAAATCTTTTATAAAGAGGAGGGTTTGAGTAAGTAATTTGTGCTATCAATTTTCCAAAACACATTTGCATGACTAAGACCGACAGACAGACACACACACACTACAGACATCTTTGCAAATGTCTGAGAAACACTGAAGTACAATTGCTGTTATTAGATAGCCTGTTAGTGGCTCAGTTTTGGTAGCACTCACGCAAGCTTTAATGCTATTATCATTAGGGATGTAAAATCCTGTTTCATCAGTTAATTGGTTAAATGTTAAGTTTAATTGGTTAACCACTTAAACAGGGGTGGACGGCAGTGAAGGGGGGGCTGCTCTGACCAGGCTGGGGCCACCAGATTTGCAAACTACTCCGAGTAGGCCGGGCCAGGTTAAGCATAACCAGTAAGCATCATTCTCTAAGGTGATTCACATATCTAATTACCAGCCTTATAAATGTCAGTATCTGCTAACAGTTGTAACATATTTCTATCCTAAGCTTCAGGACTGCCAGAAATCATATTGTTCCATGCCAAAACTTTTCTCTACAGACTGACAATAATCTCCATTAAATCTGCTTTCCCAGATAAGGACAGTTATATCACTGACACCTATAAAACAGCACTCTTACTGTTTCCACACTCTCAGAAGCACTGCAGAGCCCAGAACAACTACAGGACGCTATAGTTTAGGAGGATAAATTACAAATAAAGACTCACATTTGGACTTTAGAGGCTATGAAGATGCTTGTTTTTACTGCAAAAATTATTTGGAAAAAAAATCCCAACCATTTCCCCAAGCATGTGTGATGAACCATTTCAGCACTCTTACTGTTTCCACACTCTCAGAAGCACTGCAGAGCCCAGAACAACTACAGGACGCTATAGTTTAGGAGGATAAATTACAAATAAAGACTCACATTTGGACTTTAGAGGCTATGAAGATGCTTGTTTTTACTGCAAAAATTATTTGGAAAAAAAATCCCAACCATTTCCCCAAGCATGTGTGATGAACCATTTCACTACATAGTTCCAAGGTACTATTTAAGTCTACATTATTTGTATATTTGCATGTATTACAGAACATAATTAAAGGCAAGCAGCTAAAAGAACAGACTTGTTAAAAAAAAGTAACAGTGATATTGTCAATACAAAACATTAAAACCATCATGAGTTAGGATACTCAAACATTTTTATTTTTAAGACTGACTTAAAAATAAAGCTTTTTAAAATGTATTTTTAAAAAGTTTGCCATGTGCTTTTTACCCATTTAAGGGGAAGCTTCCTACAACCAAAAGGGTGAAAACATTTCAGGGCTACTCAGCTGTTTCTTAACAGGAGAAACTACCATTCTATCCTCTCTGATTTTCTGCTGGATCATCACCCTTGGTTTCTCTCCTGACTCATTTCCTTCCCTATCTCACCCACCTATGTCTCCTGCCTCTATATTTTCCCTCCTTTTTCCCTTTATATTTCACTTTTCTTCCTCTGTATCCTCATTAGTCTCGTCCTGAACGGTTTCATTTTCCCCATCTCTTTTAGTCTTCTCCTACCTCTCGTGTTCCTCTGAACCACCTTCGCCTCCCTCTTGCATCGCACATTCTCTTCTCTGGACCCTATAGTACAAGGGTCCCCAGTGCAGTGCCCACAGGCGTCATGGTGCCCACCAGGGTATTTGTGCGCCCACTCCGGTGTTTTAAAACAGTGGTCTCCAAAGTGGGTTGTGCGAGACTATCGGAGGGCGCGCATGCTGCCACGCAACAGCTGAGGGGGGAGATGCTCGTTTGTAAGACATCCAAGGAAGCACATGTGCGGCTTGTGCTGAGGGGAGGGGACAGGTCAAGAGAAGAAAGGGGAACGCACCAAGGGACAGTGTGGAGGAGAGACAAATTCCAGGGAGCCAAGTGGAGACAATGAGAAAAATGGCAGGAGGGGAGGTGTCAGTGGGAGGGGGACAGGGTGATGCTGGGAGAGGAGAGGGTAAGGGCATTGGAGGCTAAAGGGGGGTGGCATGTTCAAATGCCCGTGCAACAACTGAGAGGGAAGACACCCAGCGTGCCATGAGGTCGCAGCCTGGGGCTTTAAATTTTAAAACAGCATGGCCCAGCTCCAGTCCCGGCACGTGGTCTGGGGTCACGGAGGCACCTGGGGCCAGGCCCGATCACAGACTAAAACTGGAAGGCAGAAGGTGGGGGTGCAGGAAAAATAAGGGGAAGGCGGGGGAGAGGAACGGGCTTGTGCTGAGGGGAGGGGACAGGTCAAGAGAAGAAAGGGGAAGGCACCAAGGGACAGCGTGGAGGAGAGACAAATTCCAGGGAGCCAAGTGGAGACAATGAGAAAAATGGCAGGAGGGGAGGTGTCAGTGGGAGGGGGACAGGGTGATGCTGGGAGAGGAGAGGGTAAGGGCATTGGAGGCTAAAGGGGGGATGGCGAGGTGCTGGGAGAAGGCTTGAAAGAAGGGGTGGGCATGAGGAAGGTGGGAATGGAGCAAATAACATATGACGGCACAGGAGCATGAGGAGAATGAAGGCAGAGGTTGGTGAGGTGGTGGGTATTAGGGAAAAAGAGGGCAAAAGGGGCAGGGGCAGTGAGGGAAGGGGGAGGCACCAGGATGGTGCAGGGGTAAGGGAAGGCACAGGTGCCAGGAGATTCTAGGGGTGAAGCAGAAGGGCAGACACCTCCAGGGGAGGGACCAGCATCAGAGGAGAGAGGCAGGGCAGGTTTGTAGAGGGAGGTGTTAGGAGAGGGGATGAAGAGGGGTAGCTCACATGATCAGAGTGGGGCTACTGGAGGAGTGGACACAGGGGGGAGAGAAGGGCTGGTGGAGGGGGGCAGGTCTCAGGAGGGCTGAGGGCAGTGAGAAGGGCAAGATTCAGGACAGCAGAGGAGGGTGAGAGATTGGGGGGCAGCAGGCACCAAAGGAACTGATGGAGCAAGGGGAGGAGACATGGCAGCAGATAGTGGGACATGGTGGGGATGGGAAGTGTGAGATTTAAAGGTGCCATGATTTTTTTTCGGGGAGAGTGCTTTTTTGCTCAACATTTGGACATCCCCCTTTTTATTGATGCAGAATTGTGTTATGTAATATTGAATGTTGTTTTTCGTATTATTTAATGTACAAATACAACATAAGCCTTGAAAAATGTTTGGCGTTCGCCACTCTTCTGAAAATATCAGTGTGCTATTGGCCACCAAAAGGATGGGAACCACTGCTATAGTAGATGGACACTCATCTCTGCTGCTATGGAGGTATCTATCCCATCAGTAAATTAGAATAGATAACTTTTGAGTTCAGTCTTAACAGCTCACTTTCTCAAAATATTTAGCCACACCCAGACCAGAACACCTTTCCTGTTTCATCCAACACAACTGGCAAAATCCATGCATCAGACACAATTGTACATTTTTCATTAGTTTACAGATGAAGACTAAAATATGTATTCTATATAGTTTGGGCACACACTTACTACAGACATATATGAATGTTCCTCCCCTTTAGACTCATTGTACAAAAAGAAAAAAAACAATTTGCATTTGAATTATTGCCTGAACTCAGACATTAAAGATATGATGTGAAAAAGCCTGCAGAGATTTAAATAGTGCACTTCCAGGATTAAAATATAAGCAGTATATAGACTTTTTCGTAATCTTGCAATAGATTTAAACATCCAATGAATTTAAATAACCTTTTTTGTATGAATGCATCCCAAGTTGAGGCAGTTTCTACTGAAATTTATAGATCCAAGTAAACTAATATCAATACTTTACCAACAAAGCAATCTGCCAGACGGCATGGGGATATTGACTATGATTTTTTTCCTTTAGTCCATTGTCCTTCCCTCTAAGAATTTACAATCTAATACAAGTGACATCTGAAGGGTAGGGAGAAAAATACAGAGTATGTATAATTTATTTTATTTGTTATCACTATTGC